AATAATGTATTTGGCAATTTATTAATGGGTAATAATTTAAAGATATGCAAAAAGTAAAGTAAGGTTATTTTATTAGACATTGCTTCGGAGAAACAAATAATAGCATTGCAATTTAAGTTTAAATATCAACAGCTTGAACTTTGGAAGGTGTCAACTTGTGATGTGATTACTGGATTTGTTATAGTTTTTCTCTTATCTGTTTCTGTTTATAATGTTGGTACATATGAAAAACTAGTATATCAGTGATATAAATTTAAGTTTTAACTCGGGGTGTACGTTTACATGCAATTTAAGGTAACACTAACATATTATACTAAACCTAAACTTTTGTTTGTTTTTAACTGAGAACTACGACAGTTGTGAGAAATAGCTTGAGAAATTGTTACTAATTTAATACTAGTTTAGCAAGTGAGCACGAAGGGATTGTGTTCCAAGAATTCTATATTGCGTTTTAAAATAAACTTATTCTTTTTTAAATAAAATTGTTGATTAATTACAAAATAAAATGGACCTTCAACTATAACAAAAAGTTAAGAGAATGTTATTATCAGTCACATTATTTTTAAACAACATTGTGAATTAGTTAAACATTCTTTGGACAAAGGCATCAGCCAAATGAATAAACATATTTGTTTGTTTATTGTTTAGCACAAAGTGACACAGTGATACCATGGGTATCCAAAACTGGTTTTTAGAATTATACGTTTTCAGACTTACTACTGAGCCACTGGTGGCAAAATAAATATAAATAAACAACAGGAAAATGGAATAAAGTAACAGTAACAATATGGTTACAAAATAAATATAGACCTTCTTATGTCTCATACACCAGGTATTCAATACTTTTTATTGAAGCAATGCAGTTGCTACATGTACCTCTCTCTCCCCCTCTGTTCTTCACCATAATGGTCTGCTCCAATGCATGGAAGAAGCTGCTACATACAATGTTTGGCGTGGTGTGTGTGTAAAATACAATAACTATTGTTTAAGAAATGGGTATTATATGAATCAAAAGATCGAATTTTCCATGCAAGTGACATAAAATGTAATGATTACTATTCAAACAGTTTCTATTAACAAAAGAAAAACAATCTGACATTGCTTGAATGCCATTTGATGAACTTTCAAGTGTTTAGAATTATTTTAAAATTCCTGGCTGGTGAACAAACCTTCAAACACAATCCCAAAATTCTTAAGAACAACTCTGTGTCTATATTCACAAAACTTGTGTTTATTTCTACAACTCAAGTAGCCATTAACAATCCATTTAGTCAATAAATAAACACATTCTCAGCCCTAATCATAAACATGACTAGTTCTTCTACACTCAAACAAAACAAATGCAACTGTTTAAATGTCATCTGATGGATCAATTTTAAACCAGTTACCATTTTGGAAGTTGTTCTCAGTACTATATTCATGTAAGACTAACAAAATCAAAACTGAACAGTATTACAGATAAATACTAAAAGAAATTGACACAATATTTACATATCAATAGTCTTCTTACTCTTAAACATAGTGTTACGACAGTGAAGGTCACGTGACGCTTGTATCATACTACTTCCTTCTCGAACCTTCATGAAATGTCGGGAGACTACTAGATTGTGGTAGTCTTGTATATATATATAAGACCGGCCAAGAAACAACGTAAGGTAATGAGTAATTGAACTGCGGATAGAGAGAGAATATTGTTGGGTACGTGAGACGTTCATTGTGAATTATAGCGTTTGTTGTTGCGCGACTGTGAAAATTAAGTGTATCGCAAAGTTGTATTCAGAAAGAATAAACCAGTCTTATTTAAGAAAGGACTTGTATCGGTAAAGTTTCTTTGGTAAGAATTTTTATGGAAAATTAACTAACAAACGGAGACGTAACAATAGTGTTTATAGAGAAAGAACCAAGAAACTTATTTAGTACACATATAGTAATCATGTTTAATGTACACTACTCAGAATGGTTTAGAAATGGATTTTCCTGCCTCATCAGTTTATAAGCTTTTTTATAGTCTTCTGTTTTTCAAGTCAATGAACTGTTGTACATGTTTTGTACTTAAGTGATTAACTTGTAAGATAAATTTTTATTAAATGTAGAGAAAATAAATTACTAAATGCTTGAGAAATAGCTTAATGGTTGAAAACAAAGGCTTGTGATGAGTTTCATTTTTTTTTTTAAATTGAGATTTTGAATAGTGAGTTACGTACAGACTCTGCTTAAGGACCTTCATTAATTATTATTTACAACACTGGTTTTGTTACCGACTTGAGTAGTGATGATCACACTAAGATACCTAACACATAGGAGAGGTTACTTTCATTAAAAATATTTCTTTAATTCAAATCAATCTATTCATTTGTCTCCTAACTCATCTTCACTGTATCATGGACTTAGAAAATTAAACATACATATCACATATAGTTAATAATTATAAACAAATGGAAGACCAATAAAAGAAAGTAGTTATAATGATTAAGACATTCACCTACACTCATTAATAGCAATATACATCTCACAACATGGCAAAAAAGTAAGATAGTACTTAGGCCTTTGTTATTTCTTATTCACATGAATGATACTAATAGTGGAATAATTTGCATATAAGAAAAGTTTCCTGATAACATTAAATACTTGGGTAATTCTAGCTTTATTAAGGATGTTGAGGTATTATAGAATGACTTGGATTAGTTATAAAGTTAGACAAATATATGGCAGATGACCTTTCATTATACTCCAAGATAATGTATTTGAGTTATCATAATTTAGATCACACACTTAATATAGATGGGAACCTATTTAATAGCAATGCTGAAGAAAATGATATTGGTATAGTGGTTGATAAGGCAGTCAAGCAATCAAAACAGTGTGCTGATGCTAGTGAAAAAGCTAATAGAATTTTAATATGTATTTATATACATACTGATTATAAGTCAATAGATGTCATTATCTCTATATCCATTACTAGTTAAGCCTCATTTGGAATAATGTCTACAGCTTTGACCTTCTTAGCATTTTTTATAGAGTTTAAAAAAGGAATTGAAAATTTCCTACAAAAGTAAAAGATAGGTTTAAAATGTTTACTTTCTCAAGAGTGGATGTACAAGAACATTCTTGAAGAACCAAATGGTCTCTTGTTGTCTGTATATTATGAGATACATTAGTGTGAGGAGAAAAAATATTTAGAAGTGATTATTAGTATTTGTCTGAAACCTTTAATTCTTACCATTATAAAAAAGTCTTATTAGAGCATGGTATTCTATTTATATATATATATTTTTTTTTAATACAAGATTATCATTACCACTGTAACCTTGTTTAAAACACTCAAAACACTTTTGGCCTATATCAAGACTTAAGAATGTGGATTCTGATTATAAAAATGATTGCTTAAATGTTAAAAAGACTTCATGGATTTTAGTCTTTACCTGAGCATGGAACAAATGATAAGAATAAAATGACAAAACTTGTCAGAAAATCATTCAGCCGACTGAGGTTACTTTTTCACTTACTGAAAAAAAACAGCCAACCTTCACTAAGTGCAGCTATTAGCATCCATATACCTATATAAGAAAAAGGTAAACAAATTTAGACAACAGCACACAACAATTCACCAAACAAATAATTTCACAAGCATTACTTTATATAACTCCTACAGATCTAAAAATAAACAGATGACTGTATGGTTAACATTATTAGTGACTTAATAAATAAATTATGTATGAAAGGTTTGTTTGAGTTGTGGAATGAAATACATTTTCCATGTTCTTGTCACTCATTGACTGTCAGGATTATTCTGAATTAAACAAAAGCTCTCAACTATATCACTAATTAAGGTCAATAATATAATTAACATATAATAAATTTAAGTTGTATAGCAACGTTCATCCCACCAGAACAATATCCATCTATGACCATCCTCTACTTTCTCCCAGGAAACCAATTTTTTGTCCCCTTTTTAAATTTTAACTAAGAAATTGTATCACTATCTGAAAATCAATGAAGACACATATCAACACCAAATGGGTGAAAAAAAAAATGAAAACTAACAAAATCATGAGGCAAGAAAAAGAAAAGAAAAACATCACTATAAATTGATTTACTAACTAACCGCTAACAACAGACTGTATCCTCTTTCTACCACCAAAACTTCAAATTAATAAGCCTGCAATTTCCTGGAACCTTCCTTAAATTCTAAATAAGGACTACATTAGCAAATTACCAGTCATCAGAAGTTTCATCAGTGTCTACCAATTAAAAAATGAACTTAAGATTTCCATCAATTCTTTACTCAAATTCTTCAAAAATTATGAATAAAGATTATCAGGTCTGCCTGCTATGAAACTTATTGTTTGTTTTTTAACAAATTTTATCTTCAAGAATGTGATAACTTAATTCTCTTTCACACCTATTTTACCTTCATTATATACTAAAGAAAAACTTGCACTGTTGTTATATTCATTTTATTTATTATACCTTTTTTAAAATATTTGAAAGGTCAAGTTTTATTCATTATTGTTTTGTTTGTGCAGGTTACATTAGCATAAAATTTAGAGAATTTTTACTTTCAAAGTCTTTAACATTATAAATAGTTTTATCATAGATTTATTTTTTATATATTTCATAAACCTCAGCATCCCCCATTGCGCAAATTTTGAAATGTTGCGTTTTTTTATTTATCAATAACTCTTATATTCCTATTATTCTCTGTGTAACTTGTTTAGACTGCGCCTGCATTCCAAGACCTGCTTAATTGGAATGTTTAACTATATTCTAAGAACTTATGAGAGGAAGAAAAGAACAATACATTGTAACATACGATAATGGGAAAATATCCAGTTTGAGCTGACTGAGCTCAAGTAATCATTCTCTCACTCATAAGTAACAAATTCTTACAAAATAGTTATTTTGTGTTAAGACTGAATAGATTCCAATTCTTTTTAACTGCATTTACTGCATGTGTAGAGTATACAAACTTGATTTAAAGGCTTACTTCACCTACTTACCAAGCAGGTGCCATGTTTTCTTTCTTCCATACCTGCATAACCAAAAGTTGTCAATTCTGTCAGATTCAAAACCAACAAATGGTGTGGCTAGAGCATCTGCAGCTTGTCCTATTAGCAACAATACTCCAGCAAAATTGTTGTCAAATTCTAAGACATAATGTAAGTAAACTAACATATATGTAAACCACATAGATGCACAGAGATCATTTAAAACATGTCCAACACTGTAGGCCAATCTTGTGGATAACAACAGTGTATGTTGGGAGGTTTCAAAAGATTGCACAGCATCAGTCATTGTTGGTATATTAGTGACTGTAGTTTCACTGAAATAGTTCTGGTACAAAGGAAACAAGAAGCTATGATTCACTGCTTAGCTCTACTGCATCATGGATCTGTAAAGAATAAATATAAATATTGGTATCATAGATTTCTATATGGAAGTAACATAAATTTATATAAACAAATGGCCAATAAAAGAAATGAGATACAATCATCTAAACAAATATCTGAATTCATTAATACCAATACACGTATCACAAACCTTATCAGAGTATGAGAAAAAATTTGTGTGTGGGGTATTTGGCTAATTATCATCACAATTCTTGAAACATTAGATATCAAAATTACCAGAATATTTCTCAATTATATATATTTAACTAAGAAAACTTAAAACAATATATGCAACTCTTTAGGGTTGTAATGAAGGGTAGATATTAAACTTCCAAGTTTCAAACATTTGGTAATACTAATTTGCTTAATTTACTGATGATGTCATCATAACTACTAGCTTCACAAAACAATTTTTTTACAGGGGTAATCTGTATAAACTAAATAAAAACATTCACAAGCAAAACAGTAATCATGTTATCATATATAAAAAATAAATGCATATTGTTTATGTACAAGTATTTGATGCTACGTTTGTGCGATATTCATACAGCTACATACAGAAAGCTTGCATTCTAAGAGTACCTACTGTGAATAATTAAAGGAATTGCAGCTGCCTTAGACAAAAGTGATCTTTATTTAACAGTCACCATTCGAGAAAATAACATTCACTTGGTTACGGTTAAATTTTGGTTAGTGATCAATGATGCCCTGATTTCCATCAACAAAGAGGAAACAATTCACTAAATCCAACCATGACTCTTCAAATATTCGTCAACCCTTAAGCTCTTTTGTGAAGTTGTAACAACTTAAAAAAAAAGACTAACATGAGGAATAGATCGAGGTGGCACTCATTGTGAATGACTTTGTACGTGCTCATGAATAATCAAATTCTGGACACAAGGTCATGATGCCCCACTGTTTGGACAAACTTGGTGAGAAAATATAATGGCTAATGTAGTGAACTCTAACAATCTAGCAGTAAATGACATTTCTGGAGCAGTTTTACTGCATTCACCCATCAAGGACAATAGAGTGAAATAGCTGATGCAATGAGTAGAATACAGAGGACTTAAAAAAATTGGGCAAATAGAAGTTTTTGATATATGGACAACAAGGGAATTGTACAAGATTTTCTTGGTTTAGGAAATTTGTCTCTCTAAATAGGAATTTAAGCCTAGAGTTAGATTTTTATTGATACTATTAACAATTTGGAATCCAGATAAACACTGATCAATCTTGACTACAATGTATTTTACTGATTTTGATGGAGTGATGGTATGCTCATTACAACTGTTATTAAATATTATGCTGCTATATGGGACAAGCAATAAATATTTCTAAATACACTAGGAAATACTGACACTTCCCAAAACTTCAAAAGATCTTGCAGGATACACACACACACACATAAAATATTAACTAAAGTGTGGCTGGATATTAGTAATTTAGATGATGTTAACACAACAAGAAGACTAATGTACAGACACTGCAGTTAGCATTGTTACTACAACCTGGCTGGCATTGGGTCTGTACGGTCATCTGTAGGGTTCTTTACACTGACAAAGTACAAATAACATACATATATTTTCCCTTTTGCATGTTTGGATCCAACATTCAAATTTCTCTGTGTTACTGCCAAATCGGGGGAAGGATATATATAAACTTTTCCTATGCTCTCTATCGTAATACCTTGAGTCAACGTGACGTATTCCATACCAGCATTGCTTTTGGCAACCATAATAAACAGCTGATAAAAAAGTAGGTGACATAACATATTTTATATGTAAAATATATATAAGGGGTCTCAGCATTAACTGGAGATATCAGTTGCAATATTGATGATATTTTTCCTGATATTTCTTTAAAGTAATGTTAGTTGGGATCCTGTAGCCAACAAATTCACAGACCCACATCAACTTGGTGATCACATAGTTTAGAAAAATGTGCTCAGAAAGTCAATGAGGTCTACATGGACCCTACTGTATTAGTAGTTTTAGGGTTAATGAAGTTCACCCTAATTAAACTAATGTTTACAAGTGGTGTGCAGAAGAACTCTGTGCTGGGGCCATTTGAAATTTGGAAGGGAGCATATGAGTGTGAGTAATCACAACATAATTTGGTTTGTCTTTTGGTTTCCATGTCAACATAAAGGATAATACACTTTTAATTTCAATTTTTCAGAAAGACAATTTTGAGGTTATGAGGCAGGAGTTAGCTTTGGATGCCAAAACATACCAAATAAAAGCTGAAAAAGAGTAATATAGCACTGCAGGAGTTTTAAATTCTGCCTAAACATTATAAATAAAATGTACATACAACATAGAAGATTCAACTTAAATGGTGTTCAGTTTATTATTTATGTCTTGTTCTTGTATATTCAGTATCCCGTGTTTTAACACCTTTGCTGTTCAAGAATCTAGTATCTGCTCTTGTATGAACTCAGGTACTCAATTAATTAGATTTTCAGATTAAACTTCCATGTATAGAATGGCTCTTATTTCATCACTTTAGTAGGAATTAGATTTCAGAGTTGAACTAAGCACATTTCTTATAAGTCGTATTGATGAAGCAATAGGAAAAATTTTGAAAGATCTCATGAATATTTGAAAAAATGACATCAATGAAGATGGTCAAACAGGTCATGATAGATAAGCTGTAGTCAGCAGTGAATTTAATTTACAAAATTATAACTATTCCTATTATTTTTAAAGTGATAGTCTAATCCATTATTATAGTACTGTTACGACAGCTGAAGTCACGTGACGCTAGTAACACGTCATGAGCTTCTAGAAAATTCATGTCCATTCGTGAAGCCTCGAGTGTTTACTAGATATGTGGTATTCTTGTATATAAGACTGCCAAGAAGTGATGGCAACAATGTAATTCAATTGCACACAGAGACGACAATTGAGTCAAGCATGTGAATCGTTCGTTCGTTGTGAATTATAGTGTTTGTTTAATTTATAGCGTGACTGTGGAAATTAAGTGTATTGCAAAGTTGTATTGACAAAGAATAAACTAGTTTTATTTATGAAAGGACTTGTATCGCTAAAGTTTCTTCGGAAAGAATTTTTATGGAAAATTAACAAACGAACAGAGATGTAACAGTACAAACACTGAGCAAAAACAAATAATTTCCCTATCAGCCCCAGCCAGCAGTTTGTATAGTGAATGCTGTTCTCAGAAGCTGGCACAATTTATGAGGCAAAGGGAAAGTAGCTACTTTTGCAAAATCCAGAACAGCAACTGTTTTTATATCACAATGTCAAAACTCTTTAAGAACTGCACAAGGAAAGTTGAGCGAGAATTCCTAACACAAGTGTGAACACTGCAGTGTGTCTTTAAATACCAATCAAAAATACATTACATCTGTATTTATACCTTATGCATGAAAAGTTGCAGCTTAAGTGTTGAGGTGATTTTTAGCTCTGCAGTATTTTATATCTATGTACACTTTCATACTTTTT